AACCCATTTTTTTCCAAAATACATTTAGTTTATTTTTTTAAAAATTACAATCCAAAAAAAAAAAAAACAAACCCCAAAAAACGAAAACACCCACCACAAACCCTGCCTGTTTTTATTTAAATAACGCGGCATGGAGCAGTTTCCTTTCTACCCTATTGCACGTGGTCCGGCCTGGTTATGAATGAATGAGAAGCTGCTGGCATTGGGTGCTGCCAGGGACGTGGGGTTCTGCCTTGGCTGGGGGAGGAGGCCAGCTCCTCCCATTCCCTGGAGGGGCCAGAGGCATAGCCTTGGGTTTCCATGGCAACCTGGCAGCAGGTCCCCTCTGTCCTTCCCTTCACTGGCCCAGCTTTAACTGTCCTGAGGCCCCAGTGATCCTAAGGGAAGCCAAGAGTGGAGGCAAAGGCCGAAAAAATGTGTTTGGTGGGAAATCTGACTCCCAGAAAAGTCTCGTTAAGGCATTTGGAATAGATAAATTAACGCAGAAAGATGTACCTTCATAGAAGGCTGTGGCAACCAGACACACACACACATGCAGGACTGTTTGTGGAACCCTGATACGGGAGGCAGGGGGCCCCCAGTCCCTGCTGGGAGCCCCTGTGAGAACACACAAGCCCGAGAGCTGAGCTGCACCCCGGCTGATGGCGGCCGGAGCCCCAGGCCAAATCTTAGGACCCTAGGATGATCTCCATGATGTGGTCCAGTTCATTCCACTCCCAGGAGCCTGGTGTGCAGAAGAGGTTGTGAGGGGGCTCCGTGGGGGCAGGCGCGGGCTCCTTCTCCACTGCTGACGTGTCAATGTCCAGAAACAGGTCGTCCAGGTTGGTGGCGTCGCCCAGGTACCTGGAGCTCAGCGCTTCCAGGAAGACAGGGTCGGGTGGAGGCAGCACTGGATCTTGCAGGCCGCCGGGGGGTGCCCCTGTGTTCTGCACAGGCTCTGACTCATCCATGGAGGTCTCTAGCTCCCTGAGGATGGAGCCGATGGTGGCCGACAGAGAGAAATCGTCCTCGCCCAGGAAGAGCGGCTCTGGGGGCACGGCGGGCGCCGGGGCCAGGCGCAGGGAGGCTTGCAGCTGCTGCAGCGTGTTGTGGATGAGGACATGCCTGCGGAGGCTGGGCGCGCGGGGGCCCAGGCCGCGCTGAACCTTGTCCAGGGAGATGCGCAGCAGGGCTTGCTGGTAGCTCCGCAGGCCCGCTGGACCCCAGGCCCACGTCTCCTCCTCCTCTTCCAGATCTGAGTGTTTCCTCTTCAAGCCGCCCACCATGATGGTTCTCTGGGGAAGAGAGGGAAGGGCAGGTTAACCGCGCTAGGACCAGCTCAGATGCAGTCGTTGGCGAACTTGACCCATCAGAATCTGAGAGACCATCTCAGTATCTCAGGCTAAGCAGGTGAGGGACTAAGGACTTGGGCACAGCTGGGTCGCATCCCATGTACTTGCCTGTGAACGCACGTTCTAGAGTTCCTGGAATTCCCCATCTGCAGCTTAAGGGTCCTAACTGAAATCCCTCTCAATCTCAGGGACCATTCTTACACAACTCTGTGTCCTGACGGTTCCTCTAAAGACAGGCTCCTTCTGTCCATGCCCTCTTCCTTAGCCCTCCCCGCACGCTCACCAGAGAGAGGGAACGAGCCTTTCTCATTTCCCACTCCACCGACCAGACTGGAGACTCGGGCTTCCCCAACTGCTCGCCAAAGAGGAAAACTGCCCCGAAACTCAGCTAAGCCCCGCCCCCAGGGGGTCCCAGCCAACCAGACCTCGGCGCTCCACAGGCCCCGCCCCTTCCCGCGGGGCGCTGTTCACCAGGCAGGAACGCCTCCATCTGGCCCAAGGGCTTCTGGGAAACACGGGCCGACGGACGCCTAAGTACCCTCTCCGACGTCGGGCGGGACTACAATTCCCAGAGGGCTATGCTCGCGGGCATGCGCAGAGGCGCCGGGCGGGGTGGGGGCAGGGAACCCGGACGTCCAGCTGCCGGGCGCCGGCCGGGTCCCCTCCCCCACCCCGGGCTCGGCTTTCTCCGGGCTTGTTGCACCCCAGGAGACCCCCGGATTCTTCCAGAGACGCCCCCAAAGACCGCGCCCCGAAGCAGCCGGGCCGGGCTGGGGTGTGTGGGGGAGGGGTTAAGACGGGACACCCTCCTGGTGGGGCACACCCCCAACTTTTCTCCTCTCACTTTGCGAACTTCTAGTCCCGAGAGCCAAACACCCGACCCTCCACAACACCCTCTCTCCCCGCCGCCGCGTCTCGGGAGTCCAAGACGGCAGAAAAGCCAGAGTCCCCAAATAAGCTCGTCCGCGAACGAGAGTTCGTCCTCATCCTCAGATTTCCAGGCTCCCCCCTTCTCATCAAAGTTTCTGGCCCTGGTCCTCTCGCTTCTCCCGACACCCCCCATTTCTCAGGTTCAAACTCCCTCCCGTTCAGTCTCGCCTCCCGCCTTGGATCTCCCAACTCCGGGCGCTAGACCCTCCGAACCCTTCATCTGCGCTCCTCCCCCGAGGAAGGCGGGCCACGGCTCACCTCGGCTGCCAGCTCGCCACGATCACGTCCCGGGACGCCTGCGGCGCTGCGACCCTCAGCGCTGGCGGAGGGGTCTGGCTCGTCTGCCGCCCCCCACCCCCGCCCTGGGCCTCTCCGGCCGGCCTCGGGCCGGAGCGAAGCTGCAAGCGCCGATTGGCTGGAGTCCTGGCCGCCCGCCGCGGAGCGCCGATTGGCTGCACACAGTGGATCTCCGGACTCCCGGAGCTCGTCCAGCCGCCTGCCGCTCGGGCGCGTCCGCGACCATTTAAAGGAGTCAGACTCCCGACGGGGCGGGGCCAAGCGTGGAGTCCAGAGAGGGCGGGGCCACGACACGTAGGGCCCGCCTCCCAGGCGCTGCGAGATCCTGCCTCCGAGGCCACGCCCCCTTCCGAGTCCCCGCCTTCCTGGCGCTCTGAATTTCCTTCTGAGGCTCCGCCCCTTTCCGATACCCAGCCTTCTGGACACTCTGATATTTCATTTACGAGGCCCCGCCCCTCAGGGTTCAGAAGCCGCGCCCCCCTCCGAGTCCCCGCCTTCCCGAAGCTCGGCGTTTCCGCCTCTAAGGCCCCGCCCCTCGCGGTTCAGAGGCTGCCCCTCTCTCCGAGGCTCCGCCTTCCCGGTAATCCGAGGTCCCGCCCCTTCCCAGGCCCCGCCTCCGAAGCTAAGAGAGCGTTTCTGATCACCGGAGTACAGCTCAAGGGCAGCAGCCAATCATTTCGAGCGGCTTGTGTTGCCTAGGCGACCGCAGGCCCGCCCCTCCCATTCACCCTGGGGCCTCAGTCCTGTGCAGGACTTTCCAGCACGTCCTCTGGCGGCCTCGCCGGTTCCGTCCTCTTTCTCGAGGGCCTTTCTGCTGCTGTAAACTGTGCCTGGCTCGCTACCGTCCCAGGGAAGCACTCTGCCGCTGCGCTCTTCAGCTCCCCCACTCTGATTCACTTCCAGTTTGTCTGAAATCGCTTCACCCGGGCTTGCTCACCTATATACACGGAGTCCGTTTCCCTTTCCTGCCTTCCTCTCCCCCATTAGGTGCTTACAGCAGTGTCAGGTACACGGCAAGCAAGCACTCAACCTTGAGAGTGAAACGTTTTTGGCTTTAAAACATTTTATTGATTGATGTGAAAGGCAGTATTATAGAGAGAGGGAGAAGGGGAGGCAGAGATCTTCTACCCGATGGTTCACTCTCCAGATGGCCACACGGTGGAGGACTGGAGCTCAGCTAAAGCCGTCTGGGTCTCCCCTCCCCCCGTGGGTGTGGGAGCACTTGGGACCCCTCCTCCACTTTGGCATGTGCAGGAGCAGGGAGCTGAGTCAGAAGAGCAGCAGCTGGGGCTTGAACCCCTGCTCGTGCGGGCTTGGGTCTTCATGCTGAATGTGTGCCTCTCATCAGAGCTCATCTGGAAAGTTCTCTCCTCTCAGGAGCCCTCCTTCACAGCTCCTGCGACCACTTGTGGCCCACAGTTCCCCCGCTACCCCCAGTCTGCATCTCCCCCACGGTGGGCCCCCTGAGAACAGGAGCTGGGGTGATCTTGGCCACGTAGTGCTTGCTGTGGTGGAAGTCTCTATCCTTAGCAGGTCCCTGGTGACAGATGGCAGATAAGGACCCAGGGCTGCCCCACCCCCACAAGTTCTCACTCATTATGGAGGGAGAGGGGAGGAGGCTGAAGCCCCCTCAGACCGGTTCTGGCCAGTTGGAATGTGTCAGCCAAACCATCCTGCTGTTTGCAGCGGTAAACTCTTCACAGAGGGCACAGGGTGGTGGTGGTGGAGGTATTGTAATAGTTCACAGAAAAGGGAACCAGGAGCTGACTCACCAGAACTGGGAAAGACATCCCCGAAGAACAAAGTAAAAGAACCGTGGATGCCAGAGAAGGTACCTGCCCCCGTCCAGGGCCCCATCTCTGCACCGCCCACAATCTGGGCAGCCTGCTGGATGCCTCTCCCTCACCAGGGACGCCCCCTCAGGCTCCGGAGCCATTCTCCCAAGGCCTTTTTCTCCTGCCCCAAGACATTCCACTCCACACATACACCTTGGTCCCAGGCCCGTTCCCACCTCCAACCCACTTCTCCCATATACGGCTTTAGAAAACACGAATCTCTCCTCACACTCACACAGCAGAAGCTGGAGGGGCAGGAGTTAGTTCCTCTAAGCAGCCCAGCGCTTTCTGGTCTCCTGGGCTTGGCTCCAGTTATTGGTTCTGCCGGGAAAGGCCAACAGGTTCTAGAACCTTCTCTCTGGGAATTACTAACTCTGCATTTCCGGTTGGATGTCCCGTCTCCTGCCAAAGGCCTTTCTGCTGCTCAAGCTGGACCATAAGGTCCATGAACCCAGGCCACCCTCCGGGACCTCCTCAACCCAATGGTGGATCCCTACTGAGCAGGTGAATCAACACCCAGGATACTGCACACACAGGCAGACACTGACACGGAAGGCCATGGGGGGGGGGGGCGGGTAGAAAAAGAACCAAGTCCTCGACACGCATCTCATGCTGTTGGCTCAAGGTTTATTGCTCCGGTCCTGGGTGCCTCATTTCCCAGCATGCAACCCTCCTGGAGTCCTAGTCGTACTGGTGGGAGGGGTAAGCAGTGTGCCCATCGTACTCATCCGTGGTGAGGCAGCGCAGCAGGAAGTGGCCCAGGTCGTGTTTGGAGATGACCCTCGAGGGCCCTCGTCCGTCCACGGTCACCGAATAGGCCCCTGTGAGAGGCTGATCGCCTGGGAGGGAAAGGCAAAGGGACCGGGTGAAGCACAAGCCCGCTACTGTTGGCCTGGCACTGCGCGTGCCTATCTGTACCATGGCTTCCTTCATCCAGCAGGTGCCGAGCCCACGGCAAGGGCCACAGCGGGGGAAGAGGCCCCCACTCTCAGGACACCGACATTGGTCAGCAAAAGGCAAAAGAGACTAAAGCAAGAAGGCGTGTAGGATGGAGAAAAAAAGAGCAGAGGCCAGGCTAGGACCCGAGATGAACCCTGCTTAACCAATGGGCAAACCAAGCCATGGAGCGAGAAAGTCACATCTTGGTCACCTCCCAGAAGGGCAGAGGCTAGATTTGTTCTGGGTTCACCCTCTGCCTCCAACTAATGAGTTGCTGTTTGTACAAAGTAGACAGACAGTACATGGTTGCCAAGAAGACCCCTGGGGGACTGAGCTGTGGTGGTTAAATAAAGGATATTCACTAGTGGCCCCCCGACACCCAGGGCTCCCACCCCCAGCCACCCCTGCAGGGACAGCCTGTGCGGGAAGGATGCACAGGCCGCAGCTATGAGAACACAGGAGGTGGGGTACGTGAGATAGTCCCCGTTAAGAGGTGACCTGCCAGCTGAGTGAGATCTGCCATCACAGACCAAACTTTACCTGTGGGCAGAGGCAGGTGGGGCGGTACCTGTAGGAGGATTTTGCAAGTATCTCTTCATGGGAGATGCCTGCTGCAGCACTTGGGAATAAAGTGTGACAGTGTTGACAACTCACCCTCAGATGATTCAGCAAAGAAAAAAAAAAAACCCAAACAAAAACAAGTCAGCTATCCAATGAACAAATACATTCTGCTGGGGAGGGCGTTTGGCTTCACGGTTCAGATGCTGGTAAGGAAGTTTGCAATCCAACATCTGAGGGCCTGGGTTCAAGTCCTGGCACCACCAGAGCGCACACAGCCACTGACTGACTACCACACCAGCCCCATGGGAGCATCCCAAAGATGGCTGATAGTTCTCAAGACGATCAAAGTGTGAGGAGGAGACCCCCACAAAGCAAGGACAGAAGGGTTGGGGGAAGCCCCATAGGCCCAGCAGAGGGCAGGGGCATAGCAGGCTGCTGGCAACAGAGCCACGTGGCCATGTCCCAGCCCCGACTCACCTATGTGTGGTGGCATCACAGCCACGTACTTGAGGCCAGACTCCTGCAGCACCTTGTGCATCCGGCTGTGGTCATCTGTCACGTCCTGCAGTCTGGCAGGCACCTTGGCTGGATCCCACAGCAGGAAGGCTGTGGGGGCACACAGGGCAGGGTCAGTCTGGGCTCCCACTGCAAAATCCACCACAGTTAGCCTAGCTTCCTCCTGGAGGAACTGGCAGCAGAATACAGGAATACCCCGTCTCTGGTCCTGTCCACTGCAACCTCCTGCTTGGTCCCCATGGCCCCACTCCCTGCGCAGCCATTGGGAGCCTGCAAAGCCCTAAATCTGCTCACATTGAGATTTCTTTACACTCAGGGTGCCCCACCTGCTCCCCAGAATCACTTACCCCCACCCATTCCCTGCCACCTGTTCCCAGCCACACAGCCTCAGCAGTGGCTGACCCCTATGCCTGTGATACAGTTCCCTCCCACCCCCAGGGCTCCCTTCTTTCCCTGCAGACTTTGCTGGAAGGTCATCTTTCAGTGAGGCCTCCATGACTCCCATGTCCTGCCAGCCCAGCACAGTGCCCTTCTCCAGCCTCACATCATGAGATCACCTGGGGGTTTTTGCTTCCTAGCCCTTTCCTTTAACCCCATAGGGCAGGGACCTTGTCTAAAGTGCTCACAGCTCCACCTCCAGAAAGGCCTAGAACACTGCAGGTGCATGCTTAACATCTGTTGAAGGAATCATTTAGCCTTAGCAAAGCTAGAATACAAGAACACTCACCTGCCCCCAGAGCCAGGCTAATGTACCATGGGACAGGTGCCCTCCTTTGGGTAACCCGGGGTGACAGAAATTGTTGGAATCCCTGCCAGCGGCACAGAGTAAAATCCAATCCATTGCCGGGTCCTAGGGATCAGCATCCCTCTTTGCAGAGGAGAGCAGTGTGGCTCAGTGTGTGACGCCCTGGCACAAGGCTGCATGGCCATGGCCCGTCCTACACTCACACAGCCTCCCTTTCGGAACCTTAAATCCAGTCCGGGTCTTACCCTGAGCTTCCTTTTTAAAATTGTTTTTAAAGATCTATTTATTGGAAAGGCAGAGACACAGAGAGATCTTTCCTCCTCCAGTTCATTCCTCAAATGCCTGCGATAACTAGGACTGGAGCAGGTGGAAGCCAGGAACTCTCAACTCCGGCCAGGTTGCTCAGGAGCACAAGTCACTTCCTCAGTGATCTGAAGTGAAGGTTCTCGTACTTGACCTTCAGCAGGTGTCTTAAGTGGTGGCTGAAGTCACTGTATCATAATACTCCCCCTGTGTGTTGTGTATGTTTTAAGAGTTATCTATTTGAAAGGCAGCATGACAGAAAAAGAATCTTCCGTTCACTACTTCCCAAATGTCTGGGGCTGGCCTAGAACTCCCAGCCAAGTCTCCCACATGGGTGGGCACTTGGGCCAGTTTCCAGCACCTTTCCAGGAATTAGCAGGGAGGGAGTTGGATGGGACTTGAACAGGAGCTCCTATAGCTTACTCATGCCGCTAACAGCAGCTTAGCCTGCTGTGCCACACCCGATCCCCTGGCATTCCTTTTAATCCTCTTGGGCACCTCTACCAGCCAATCCTCCCAAGTCCTAATGATGCCAAGCTGCTTAGAGAACAATAACCTGCTAATCCTTTCCCTTGAAACTTGAACACAGAGGGGGTGTTAGACTCTTCTGGGTGAATGTTCAGTTTCTCAGCTGTGACACCAGCATGAAGTTTCCAGAAACAAAAGCTCTTTTCTCAGGAGCTGGTCAAGGTGTGCCTGGGTCTTCCCCCCATTTTAAATGGCTTAGGAAAGCACCCCAAAATGTAGACTTGCAAACAGGATCTGGTAACACTAATGAAGTTTACGCAGTGAATGTCCCACGTGGCAGGAACACAGGTGCTCACCATGCTGGCCTGGGGATTCGGCTTGAAACTCTTCGTAATTAAAAGTAGAGAAATTATCCTAAAGAAATAGATGCTGAAGCCATAATGGATCTAAATCACAGAGGAAGTAAGGGGAAAAGTGTGTGCAGAAAGGGGTGGGGGAAGAAATGGTGTCCTTTTAACTCAAGTTCATAAACATGTCTAAATAAAAGTTAAATATTGAAGGGAGGGCCTGGTGCCATAGCCTAGTGGCTAAATCCTTGCCTTGCATCTGCCAGAATCTCATGTCGGTTTGGGTTTGTATCCCGGCTGCTCCACTTCTCATCCAGCTCCCTGCTTGTGGCCTGGGGAGGAATTTGAGGACAACCCAAAGCCTTGGGACCCTGCACCCATGTGGGAGACCTGGAAGAAGTTCCTGGCTCTTGGTTTCGCATCAGCTCAGCTCTGGCTTTTGCAGCCATTTGGAGAGTAAACCAGCAGATGGGAGATGTTTATCTCTGTATCTCCTTCTCTCTGTATATCTGCTTTTCCAATTACAAGATAAAATAAATCTTTGAAGAAAATGGAAAGGAGGTGCAGGTGTTTAGTGCAGTGGCTAAGTCACCACAGAGGTGTCAGTTTTTCAGTGCTGACTTGGGTTCTGACTTGAGCCTCCCGTTAATGTGCACGCTGGCAGGCAGCAGGCAATGGACTTGGAGTCCTGTGCCCTGGATGGCGTTCCAGCCTCCTGGCTTGGGTGTGGCCCCATCTTTGCTGTTGAGGACACGTGGGGAGTGAACCAGCAGCTGGCATTTTGTCCCTATCTGTCTCCTTTAACTAAATGGAAATAATTTTTAAAATGCTAACAATAAAGCAACAAATCCTGGAATACAGGAGATTAAGGCTTCATCAGGGCCTGTACAAGGTGGAGACTGGCAGCCAGGGGGCATCGCCCGGCCCTGGCCCACAGCAAGGAGACAAAACCAGCCAGTGCTACCTGTGCAGCTAATGTGTGGGAGTACGAGCCCCTCCTCTCCCTTGCCAGGAGTTTTGGGAGGCTAAAAAGTGGCCTTTATCCCCAGGGTGTTCAGATCCCACCCAGCATACAGTAGGTGCTCACTACAGGCTCTTAGCATGAGCTGCACCAGCTGGCCACTCTGGAGCCTTCCCTTGGGGTTGCTCAGGGCAGCTCTTGGTTCCATGTCCCTCTGCCTACAGCTGGAAGTTCTGAGGATGGGGACCTGGCACATACCCACTGCTCTGGCCTCTGCCCTGCCAGGGTCTTCCTTCGCTTCCTTCAGACTGGGGGACAGGGAGCTCCTGCAGGCCTCCTAGGCTTCTTGTACCCCAACCGCAGTCCTAATTATCGGGGAGATCAATTTGCCTGCGGCCCTGCTACCACCTCTCTCACAGGGTTGTACTGGTCACCATCGCATCCTCAGCGCCATCCAGTAAGTTTGGACAAGTGCCCGGTGACTTTGGAAGGCTTCAGTGCCACCATGTCACAGGGCCCTGGGATGCCTGTCTTATTTCCACCCAGTCATTCAGTCCCACCTCCATGACCCCACCACCCACCCGATGTGCAGGCCACGACCTTGTCCACGCCGTGGGCCTTCATGGCTGCCACAATGTTCCGGGTGCCCTCGGACATCATGGTAGTGGGACCTTAGAGGGGACAGAGAGTGGCTGTCACTGGTGGGCGGTGGCGGAGGTGGTGGAGGTGGCGGAGGTGGCGGCAGGGGTGGCAGAGGTGGGGCCGGGGGTGGGGGCGGCACCGCAGGCCGAGGCGGAGGGTGGGGGGGCCGTGGGCAGAGGGGGGGCTCAGTACTGAGGTCGTTGCGGGTGCCCAGCAGCACGATGACAGCATCCTGCCCGGCCACGGTCTTGTCCACGTCGGCAGCCTGCAGGACGTCACCCACCACCACGTGGGCCGGCTTGGGCCCATCCTTGGGAAGTCTGGAGGAGTCACGCACCAGCACTGTGACTTCATAACCTGCAGGTAAAGAAGAGTAGGGAGGAGGGAGTCAACGGGCTCGCAGGGGGGCTCCGGGTCCCTTAGGTGCTCTGTGCCAGCTCGGTGATCTTCGAGCACGTCTGTTGAATGAACAGGACAAGGCACAAAGAGACACCATCAACCAGCACTTGCAGGGTTAATACCTGCCGTGCTTCCCTATGCCCCCTCAACCCTATCGGTGGTCTTTGAGGAAACTGAGGCACAGAGGAGGAGATGAGTTGCCTGAAGATTGTCTAGCACTGGGTTTGGTCCCGCACGCTGCCCCCTGGCCTGCCTTCTGCATCAGTAAAGATTTTTAACGTCACCTCCATGTGTTGCCTCTGTAGGCAATTCAGAAAGTCTTCCTTCCCCATGCGCACACATATTTTAGAGTTCACAAGGAAAACAGTGTCGCCCATCGTTTTAAACAGCAGCAACTGTGTTTACCGGTTGTTGTTTCATTGTTTCATTTTTCCCTCCCCTACTGCCCCTCACCCCAGGGGAGACACATTGAAAAGGCAGCTGGAAGTCACGGGAAGGGACAGTACCTGCCAGCACGCTGACCTTGCACTCTGGCAGCCGCTGCTGTGCTCAGCCTGGGCTACTTGGTCCTTGCAGCCAGCCTGAGTGCCAGGTTGTCACAATCCTTGCTTTACGGGTGGTGGGCAGGGTCAGAGGACCAGCTGAGGCTGCGAGGTCCCGTGCAGCCACCGGTGGGGGGGGGCAGTGCCTGCGGCATGGTGGGTCACATGGACATCAGAGGGCCCCCACTGGGCTGATCATGAACTATCAGAACATTTATGGCAAAAAGAAGGGAACCATCCTGTGTGGCAAAAGGTGCTGAATGATACTAAGTCGGTGCTTGGGAAAGGATCAAGGGAAAGGAAAAAATTCTTCCACCTTCCAGTTCTCGTTGATATTTGTTACCAACTATTTCAAAGAAAAAAAGACACACCAAGGATGGGGGATTTTCCAATGTGCGGCAATGGAGCTGACGACAATGAGACATGGCAACACCTAATCTCAACACAGCAGGTTAAGACGCAGAGCTTGTCCTAGCTGCTCCACTTCTTTTCCAGCTCCCTGCTAAGTGGTGTGGGAAGAGCTGCTGCCATCCACATGGGAGCCCGGAAGAAGCTCCTGGCTTGAGCCTGGCCCAATGCTGGCGGTTGCAGCCATCCAGGGTGTGAACTAGCCCATGGGAAATCTCTCTAATATGATTCATTTTTAAAAAAGATTTATCTTTTTTTAAATTAGAAAGTCAAATATACAGAAAGGAGGAGAGACAGAGAGGAAGATCTTCCATCCATTGGATCACTCTCCAAGTGGTCATGACAACTGGAGTTGAACCAATCTGAAGCCAGGAGCCCAGAGCCTCTTATGGGTCTCCCACATGGGTGCAGGGTCCCAAGGCTTTGGGCCGTCCTTGACTGCTTTCCCAGGACACAAGCAGGGAGCTGGATGGGAAGTGGAGCTGCAGGGATTAGAACTGGTGCCCAAATGGGATCCTGACATGTATAAAAGGCAAGGACTTTAGCCACTAGGCTACCACGCTGGGTCTCCCTCTATAATTCTTTCATATAAATAAATAACATCTTTTAGAAGATAATAAAATTTTAAAACCCCCCTAATTTTTACAAAACATTCATTACAAGCCAGCTGCCAAGTCCCTTACCCACCTCAAGTCACTTAGTGCAGCCTGGGTTAGAGCCCCAGGCCTATCACTACCTGGCTACGAGACCCTGGCAGTTCACTCAACCTCTCTGGGTTTTTGGGTCTTTATTTGCAACCTGACACTAAGGCCTGGAGTCTGGTGGGTTAAGCCTCTGCCTGCGACACCAGCATCCCACATCCTCTATTAGAGCATCTGTTTGAGTTCTGGCTTCTCTGCTTGCAGTCCAGCTCCCTGGGGAAGCAGTGGAGGATGAACCAAATGCTTCGTCCCCTGCCACCCCCAGGGGAGACCTGGATGAAGTTCCTGCCTCCTGCCTTTGGCCTAGCCCAGCTCCGGCTGTTGAGATGTTTGGGGAGTGGATGGAAGATCTCTGTTTCTCTGTATCTCCCTGTCACTTTGTCTTTCAAATAAATAAGACAAATTTTTAGAAAAAATGTGAGATTTAATTTTTAAGAAGAAAATACAAGCTTATATCATAGTGACTTCACATGAGGCAATGGTGTCTTCATCCTGACACCGGAAGCACAAGCAATGATAAAGAACAGACAAACTGAATGTCACCAAAATGTAAAACCTCCGTGCGTCAGGGGACCCAACTAGGAGAGTAAAAACACAAGCCACAGAGAGGCAGGACATTTTGGTAAGCCAGATCTCTGACAAAGGACCTGTATCTGGGCTACAAAAAGACCTTCTGAATCATGCTATTAAGAAGACAAGTCGTTGGATGGGAAGTTACAAACGAGCCTCTGTGTGTGAGAGATGGGTGCAAGGAAAACAAAGGAGACAGGTTGGCATCCTCCGGGATGACGTCCTACCCAAGCCCCAGCAACTTTAGAGGTGGCCGCTGGCATTCCCCCAAGCAAGGAGCCCCAGTGCCAGGAGCCCTACTCTGTGCAGGAATCCTACTGTGTCCCCTAACATTGAGCTATAAATCTTTCCTAGGTTTTCCCTTACGAAGGTGCTGAGTGGCCCACCCAGCCTGCTAACACTAGGAGGCATTTCACCCAATGCGCACACTCTGAAAATCCGATGCCCAGAAGAGAGAGAACCAGGAGGGAAATGAAAGAACTGGACCCTATTCCCTCATGCGCCCCATCTGAGCACACACTGTGCTCCTGGTTGCTTACCCAGATGCCCACTTCATCTCTCAGGTGTATTCTTATCATTGAATTTGGCTTGCATGCTTGCCACTACTCCCTGTTGCCCATATGCCCTCTGTTGTGCTCAAAGATAAGAATCCCTGTTCTACCCGCAGGTCTGTATGCACATCTCTTTCGAGCTGTCCACACCACACCGATCTGGAGCCTGAGCGTCAGGCTACGGGCCTGGAACCCTCACAGCAATGCCAACAGCAGCCTTACTCCTCCACAGCTAACCTGTGACCCAGCTGCCAGCCCTCACCTTCCCACCCTGTTCCCCAGGAACGGAAACATACCCTCACACAGCAAGCAATAGACACATACAACGTGGCAGACTTGGTAAGAAGAAATATCCTAAGAAGAGATGCTGTTTGAATACATGTTACAACATGTGAGATGCCGTTCAGATACATGTTGCGACATGCTGGAATTTTTAGAACACTTGTATTTTGCTAACTCATAGCAGCCAGTCACATGGTTACTTCCATAGTCCCATCCAAAACAGACAGAAACCACACAAACAGGAAGTTGATGGGTGGCCGCCAGGACTAGGGGAAGGGTTGGCCAAAAAAATAGAAGGGCATGTGACTTCTAGGCTCACTTTTTTTTTTTTCCTGCAATACACTTTAAAAAAAATATGTAAAGATTTATTGTTTTCTTATTTGAATAGCAGAGTTACGGGGGAGGGGGGGGAGAGAGGGAGAGAGAGAGAGAAGCAGATCTTCCATGGTTACTCCCCAGATGGTCACAATGGCCAAAGCTGCGCCTATCGGAAGCCAGGAGCTTCTTCCGGGTCTCCCACATGATTGCAGCGGTCCAAGCATCTGAGCCACCCTCAGCTGTTTTTGCAGATGTATTAGCACAGAGATGGATCAGAAGTGGAGTGGCCAGGATTCAAATTGGCACCCCTATTGAATGTGGGAATGGGATACTGGTGCTGCAGGTGGAGGCTTAGCTTATTATACCACTTACTTATTTATTTGGTTGAAAAGCAGAATAGGAGAGAGATCTTGGGCCCGGTGGCGTGGCCTAGCGGCTAAAGTCCTCACCTTGAACACCTTGGGATCCCATATGGGCGCCGGTTCTAATCCCTGCAGCTCCACTGCCCATCCAGCTCCCTGCTTGTGGCCTGGGAAAGCAGTCGAGGACGGCCCAAAGCTTTGGGACCCTGCACCTGCGTGGGAGACCTGGAGGAAGTTCCTGGCTCCTGGCTCTGGATTGACACAGCACCGGCCGTTGCGGTCACTTGGGGAGTGAATCATCGGACGGAAGATCTTCCTCTCTGTTTCTCCTCCTCTCTGTATATCTGACTTTGTAATAAATAAATAAATCTTAAAAAAAAAAAAAAAAGAAGAGAGAGAGAGAGAGAGATCTTCCATTTACTACCAGTTCAGAACCCAAACAGCCAGAACTGGGCTGAGCCCAAGCCAGGATCCTGCAGCGACAGTCTGATGTTCTGCACAGGTGGCAGGGGTTCAAGTACTCAGGCCTTATCGGCTGCTGCCTTCCCAGGGCATTAGCAGGGAGCTAGACTGGAAGCAGAGCAGTCAGAACTTGAACCAGCACTCTGGTACGGGATGCCAGCGTCACACACAAAGGCTTAACTCACTGTGCCACAACAGGGACCCCTCCAGAAGTTTTACATCCTCAAAGGGCAACATAATTGTGGGGTGTTTCCAGTCTTCATACAAAAGCCTTGCTTACTTACATTTTCATTGTTTTAATTTTGCCAACTATCCACATATGTTTGGATTCTTCATATTTCTGTGCATGTACGTATAACATACAATACACATAACTGTATATAACTATTTTTATACACAGAAATATATAAATATATACACATGCCTATTATATAGTTTCCCCCACCCCCAGAGGTCTTTGTCTCCTTTAAGATTCTTGCGTCTTAATCCTCAATACAAAACAGGTTTTACAGCTTAACCCAGCACACACAAAATCATACACACATCATTGCAATGAAAGTTTCACAAAACCAGCCGCTCATGTGACTCAGTCTGAGAATCACCGGACTGGAATACCACTCCTGTTATTATCACACCCATTTTGACAATGGGAAAAATTGAGGCAGTTTTTAGGTAGCTGAGTCCAAATCACACATAAGCTCCATAAGTAGAAGAGAAGGTTGATTTTTTTTTTACCTGACTCTGACCCAGAGCCTGCAGGAGGGGCACCAACTCTGCACTTCCTGTTTATGATCTGATTGACACACCACAGGAGCCCCGGGGCCAGTAGTATTAACATCCCCACGCCTCAGATACGTGTGCATGGAGCAACCAGGCCCCTGTCCACACGGGCGGACACCTTCCTAAAGGCAGGCAGCTGGCTGTTTGCTGTAGGTCCCTGCCCATCAGAATTCTTGGTTCTTGTCAGTTCACCAAGGGACATAAACCTTGGGTTTGGCTCAGCTGTTCCATTGAAGGGTAGTGCCCCTCTGTTGGACTCATCCCACTGGGGGACACTAGGTGCAGTTCCGGCCCCCACCAGCAGAGGGAGTGGAGGGGTGCAGGGCCAAGCTGAGGAATGCGGGAATGGGGCAAAAGGCACCATGACTCAGCACTTCTCAACTTCTCTCTACTACTCCGTCCTTCCTCCTCCAGCCTCCAGAAGTGCTGAGCGGCAAATCTGTGCGGAAGGCGGGTTCCAAACAGAGCTCTTCCCCTCCCCCAGGAGGGAGATGGGGGCCTCACAGGCCAAGTCCCTGCAGGGAGCGTTTGTGTTGGGTGTGTGTGCGCAGGGGAGCAGGACCCTGGCGGCCTCCACCCTGTTAGGGCACTCAGATAGTGAATATCACTCAGACTCAGCCAGGGAAGCAGGGTGGGGCCCCTCTATCAGAAAAGTCCAGAGCCCACTGGTAACTTCTGAACAGTAGGGGGGAGAGTAATGAAGTGAGCAGAGGGCGCTGGGGATTGGCATGGATTGGCATTCCTTTTTCCTGCAACCCCCTCCCCCCGTTGTGATCTGGGAAGAAATTGAGTTTTCAGCCCCTGCTGGCTTTCCCACAACTAGAGTGTGGGGTTGTACTTCTGCTACGTTACCTTCCCAACCTTTTTCAGTTTCCAACTCTTGGCAGTGCTCAAGCCAAGAACTGCTGCTTCCGTGCACCAGCTGGGCTGCCATACCAGCGCTGCCACTTACCAGAACTGGGCAATTGGGGAAGGCACTTCCCTGGGCCTCAGCTTTCTCATCTGCCGAGTGGGGTGATACCTACTGGGTTCTACCCCTACACGCATAGGAGGCAGCCATCCAGGATTTGGAGGTGAAGACGTAGCAGTGCTGGGCTGCAGGTGGACAGCCAGCTCAGGAAAGTCTCCACCGAGGTACCAAGAACCACTGCCTCCACATCCCACCCCCTGCACACCTGCAGCACCCCAGGCAGCACCCCCACAGTTGGTAGCAGCCTGGACTGACCCACAGGGCTCCTGGAGTCTCCCAAGCTCCCACCGTCCATTCTTTTGCCTTGTCCACAGAGGGAATTGGAGTTCCTAGCCTCCCCTCCCCCCCGCCCCCAATTCTGTCCCCTCAGCCCCCTGCGCTGCCTGCACCACTCCTCCCTCCCATGCGCTCCGCACGCCTGGTTGGGGGCAAGGATGGCCCCCCAGCCGTCCTCTTTCGGCTGGGCTCCACCCAGCCCTCCTTTTTCCTAATGTCCCCTGCCCGCCCGCCCCGGCTCATGCCTGCTTGCACCGCCTGCGCCAGGGTGGTGAGCCCGGTGTTGCCGGTGGCGCCGAAGATCGCGATCTTCTTGACGGCCATGCTGCAAGGTAGCGGGCGTGCGAGGGCTCCTCGAGTTCTTTAGGGACGCGCGGGAACCCACAGGCTCGGAGACGGCGGGCTCAGTCCTCCTTTAAGCAGGAAACACGGGGAGGAGCCAACCGCGAGAGCCCCGCCTCCCCGTGACCACGCCCACCACCGCTCAGGCTAGGGGAGGCGGGTCCTGTGGCGCTCCGCCCCAGGCTGGGAGGAACGTGACTGGACAGAGCAGCAAAGATCGCCAATGAGACGCAGAGGCGGCACCGCCGAGGCCACGCCCCTCGACGGGGCCACTAGCGCTCCCCAGCCCAGGGGGCGGGACGAGCGCGGCGGGCCACGCCCCCAGCCTCCCCGCCCTGCCGCCCCTCGGCCCGCGCTGGCCGATGGCCGCCTGGCTCGGCTCCCACCTCAGGGCCTGCCCGTGCCTGCGTGTGACAAAGCGTGACACCGCGTGTGTCTGCGTACCTGTGTGACCCCAAGTGACCCTTAGTCCCCGCAGAGGGGGACGCCTGACCGGGAGCCACCTTATGGCCGTGTGTGTGTGTGGAGGGCTCACGTGCCGCACTCCTCCCTGACCTGAGGTGGCATCATGGATGTCCGCCTGTGTGAGGTGGGGTGGGCGCGGGTCGGGGAGAGGGGTGCGTTATCCGAGGCTGTGACACCCCCTCCCCGGCTGGCTGGCGCCGCCACCGCGTTTGCCTGCGTGGTGGCTGTGCGCGTGGCCGTGGCCGCCTGGCTCTCCTTCTCCTCCTCCTCTTCCACGTCCTCCCCGGGCTCCCCAAGACTACGAGCGTGGAAAAAGGGGGCGACGCCGCGGGGGCGGCGGACCCCGCACCGCCGTGTGACACGGTGCGTGACACGGCCGCCCGTCCGCCGAGGGGGTGCGGGGCGCGTGGGCGGCGGTGGCGGGGAGCGTGTGGCCGTGACGCCGGCGCTGCTGCTGCTGCTGCTGCTGCTCCTGCTGCCGCTGCGCACCACGCGCCGCGGCCCGTGGGGGGACAGCTCCGGGCCCGGGGACGCCAGGGAGGCCCGGGGACGCGCGGGCGCGAGCGGGGCGGTGCGGGGAGGCGCGGCGGCGGCGGCGGCGGCGGCGCATGCGGATCCGGCCGTGCGGCGGGGCCGGCGGGGCCGAGCGAGCCGGGCCGGGCCGTGCCGGGCCTCGGATGCCCACAAGAGGGGCTGTCGGGCGCGGCGAGCAGCGGCGGCGGGGCCCAGGTGAGCGGCGTCCCCCCACCTGCCTGAGCATCCTTTCCCTTCCCGAAACCCCGCGCGCCCCGGAGTCGCCCTGGCCAGAGCGGAGGTGGGGGTTGGGGGTCGAGGGCTGAACCATCGCTGCGCTTGGGTCCTGCCCCAGGCCTTGTCCTTCCCGGCTTGCTCCCTGGGCTCACCGGCTGGGCAGCAGCTGTGGAAGGGTCGGTTCCCACCCACAGCCCCACACTGAGCACCGTAGGCCAGTGTTGCCCCCGACATCCCTTCCCACCTGCCCTTCACCTTATTCCTTCTCCGTTCATGTGTTAATGGCTCGGCTGCTAAGTGCCCGCCCATGCCCAGGTATCCTGCATGGGGGCAAACAGTTGGCACCACCTTTAGTGAGGAAGACAGCTGAGGACCCAGGACCCCAGTTGAGTGCTACTTGATTCTGAAGGGAACAGGGATAAGGCAGGACTTGAACTCGGTTTCCATTGGAGTCCAGAACAGGCTTGCTGATTTACTATAATGTGGGTGACACCAGGGATGACTATTGAGTGCTTTGCTGTGGGCCAAATACCACGTTGCTAAGGTTCCCTGGGTTCTTAACTTGTGTGGTCTTCAAACTCTCCTAGCAAGGGGGGTGCTGGGATCATTACCCAGAGAGGGGAAGTGACCTGGCCAAGGTCACACAGCTGGTAGGCAGCCATATGCCTACTTACACACCTTTCCAGAGAAGAAAGGAAAAAACAGTGGCTTTAGCCAGGCCTGCTTCCAAGGGATGGTCTCCACGACGCTGACCCAGGTCCCCAAATGCTTTCTCTGTATCTTGTAGATGGACAATTGCTTGAGTGCTTGGAGAAGCTGGCACCTGACTCCCAGGCACCCCACCTTTGTTAGTCTTAGGTTCAGCTCTGGGGTCCAGGTGGAGAGGAGGGGCTGGCACTGCTGTGCCTGTGGTATTTGCAGCTTAGCAGTGTTCCAGGGCCTAGCTGTTGAGGTCAGATGGAATCTGCCAGTTAGCGATTGCCACAATCGCGCCGTGTAACAAACCACCCGGAAAGTGCGGGCTGAACCCATTACTAAGCATTTGAGGCTGAGCTCTCTACTCGGGCTTGGACTTTGCTGGAAGTTCTGCTGGTTTCTGTGAGCTTGTTCACAATAGCAGCTACAATAGGGGCATCGCTGGCTGACCCTGGCTGGAATGACCGGGGCTTTGGATCTAATCTGGCCCTGACATATTTTTTCTCATGCAAGCGGAAACATGAGGGAGCCCTTGAATGCTAGGCTTAGAACAAGCAAACCAGCATTTCTACTTAATTCTGTTGACTAAAGCAAGTCACATGCCAAACCCAGGGTCAAGGAGTGTAACACAGCTCTACTTTCCAAGGACACACCTTTTTCACCTGAACGGTTTGGGGATGGGGATGTTGGGGGAGGACATGAAAGGAGTGCCTCAGTTTCCTGGCCTGTCAAATGGGCCTCATAAAATAGCCCGTCATTCAGGAATGAAAGCTGCAGGGATTAAGTCAGAGGATGCATATGTGACACTAAGCATAGTGCAAGTGGCCAACAAGCGCTCGTAATAGCTGTGACTGCAGGGTAGAACTCTGCGGATAGCAATGTGATTGTTGTCCTAATAACTGTTACAACGATAGTCAACTGAACCCTGCCCTGTGCCAGGCGCTAAGCCGGATGTTGCACCATGGCCCCGTGAAGTGGTCAAGGTGGGCGTGGCAATCATTTGTTATTATGTCCATTGTAAAGATGGGGAAACTGAGGCTGCTGAGGGGCCAGGACGTATAGCCAGGCTCCTCAGAGTCCAGGCCCTAACCTCCACCTCTTCCCTCCCCCCAGGCCTCACCTTTCCCCATGGCGCAGGTGCCAGGGGAAGTGGACAACATGGAGGGGCTGCCTGCCTCCAACAACAACAACAACCCAGCCACCCGCTGGGACAGCCCGGAGCGGGGCTGGGAGCGGGAGCCGCCTGCAGCCTCCACCACAGCCGCCTCGCTCTTTGAGTGCTCCCGGATCAAGGCTTTGGCAGGTAGCCGGAGAGGAGGGGTGGGCTCCATGCATCTCAGCACTGGAGCTCTTGGTGGCCTTGAGGGAGGAAGGGAGGGGACAGGGTTAGACTCTGGGTGTTGGCTCTGTGGACCGAGCTGCCCGGAGACGTTAATGGGCGCCTCCTGGTTCTGTGCTGTTCAGTAGTAGCTCCTATACAAGTGTGTGTGGCTAGTGAGTACTTAAACGTGGTCGGTGCTGCCCGAGGGACCGTTCTCCATTTCATTTCGTTTTAAGCCCTTTAAATCTAAGGAGCCACTTGCGGGTCGTGGCTGCCATATGGGGCAGCACAGTCTGGGAACCTCAGAAACATAACTCTCCCAGAAACATGGGATTTCCAAGTCCCACCCCTTTAGGATTCCCAAAAGTGGAACCATTGGCCTCTAGGATCCTGGCTGTCATGCTCAGAGATTCTTTGAACCTGAGACTTTTAGAAACACAACCCTTTGGAAACGTCAGACTTGAAAATCCTAGTTTTTTCTCATTTGCCCCAGGAGCGTAGGTCCTTGGAAACCTGAAGTCCAGTCTTCATAGGTGCCTGGGGCTTTGTAATCCTGTTGCTATAGATGTTCACATTAGAAACATGGGTTCTGAGAACGTGAAGGAAGAGTGTGTGTAACTTCTAGGATTTGGCTCTAAAGCCCTGGGGCCCCAGGCCAGCTGGGCTGGTTGGTCACCCGTCCTGTTGTCTTAGAGTGACACCAGTGAAGGCCTGAGCATGCGCAGTTACACAGCATCGGTTGGGTAGGCCGGTGAACCTATGACTTAGTGTTTACAGGGCTTTGGAAAATCAGAGCTGTTTAATCATTAGCACAAAACCCTTGGAGAAGTGTAACTTCGTCATCCTAAGCCCTTACAATGTGAAACACACGTAATGGGAGTTTGGCTCAGAGGTTGAAATGCCTGTTGGGACATGCATATCCCTACATCAAAGGGCTCATTTTTTTATTATTATTATTTTTTAATTTGGAACTCAGAATTGGAGAGAATCTTCCGTCTGTTGGTTCACTCTCCAAATGGCCATAATGGCTGGAGCTAGGAGGGCAAGGCCCAAGCCGGGAGCCAGGAACTTCTGTGTCTCCCACATGAGTCATAGGAGCCCAAGCACTGGGTCATCTGCTGCTGCTTTTCCCAGGCCATCAACAGCGAGTCGGATTAGAAATGGAGCAGCCAAGAGTACAATTGGCACCCATGTGGGATGCCAGCATCATGCAATGATCGGCTTTCCCCATGTGCTGCATAGCTGGCCCTGGATTCAAGTTCTGACTCCTGGCTCTTGGCTTCAGCCTGGCCCAATCTCAGCTGTTGCAGGCATTTGGTGAGTCAACCAGCAGATAGGTGATCCTTGTCGTCTTTCAAAATAAAGCAAATTTTCAGACTTGTTTACGCCCACAAAGGCCACAGTGATTATACCTGGGCCAATCTGAAGCCAGGAGCCAGGATCCTACTCTGAGTCTCTGCTGGCAGGGGCTTAAGGACCTGGGCCGTCTTCTGCTGTTTTCCTGGGTATCATTGTCAAAGAACTCGATTGAAAGTGGAGCAGCTGGGACTCTAAGCAGTGCCCAAGTGAGAAGTTGGCGTCTCAGGCGGCAACTTTACTCACTAGACTGCAATGCCACCCCCAACATCACAGTTACAGAGAGTAGGAACAGAAAGAGAGAGATCTTCCATCCTCTGATTCACTCTCCAAGTGAGCGCAACAGCCAGTGCTATGCCAATCCGAAGCCAGGAGCCAGGAATTTCTTCCAGGTCTCCCACATGAGTGCAGAGTCCCAAGGCTTTGGGCCGTCCTTGACTGCTTTCCCAGGCCACAAGCAGGGAGCTGGATGGGA